GCCGACTTTGACCGTGAGTGTGGAAAGGTAGGACTACAGCTGAATCTTACGAAGACAATGTTTATGAGAAACAGCCTTGTTCCTGACGCCCCATTCGCTCTCAATGGAACGACCATCTCCGAATGCAACAGCTATGTGTACCTAGGTCGAGAGGTCAACATGACAAATGACCTGGCACCCGAGCTGCGCAGGAGGAAGAGAGCGGCTTGGAACGCCTTCAAGAACGTCGAAGAAATAGCTAAGAGGACGAAGAACCTCCGGCTCCGGGCACATCTCTTTGATTCCACTGTTCTTCCTGCATTAACATATGCCTCAGAGACCTGGGCCCTACGCAAACAAGATGAGAACGCCATTCAGGTCTCCCAAAGAAGAATAGAAAGAGCTCTGCTTGGAATATCACGTTTCACTCAAATGAGAGAACGAATCCGGAGTTCTGACATCCGTCGACGATCAAGGATCAGGGACGCTGTCTCATTTGCCAAGGTGTCGAAAATCAGATGGGCTGGTCACGTAATGAGATTTAAAGACGACCGTTGGACTAGAGCTGTTACTGATTGGATTCCACGGGATGTCAAGAGACCGCGTGGCCGCCCACCTACCAGATGGTCAGACTTCTTTGTCAAGGTCATGAACGATCGGTTTGGGGCCCTCCATGTTCCCGGAGCGAGGAGATGCCATTGGGCTACACTAGCACGCGACAGGGACAAATGGAGACGTTACTGGCGCCCGCTCGAGCAAATCGACGACTAACGGGAAGTTAAGTGATTAAGTGATTTAAGTGAAGCCAATTACAGTATTTTATTGTTTCCAACTCTGTAGTTTTATGGCTATACTTTTGGCTATTGCTGCCTACAGTCCTCCGCTCTACCAGCTGAGCTATCGAAGGGCGCTGGAGCGATAGCACAGCGGTAGGGTGTTTGCCTTGCGTGCAGCAGGCCCACCCAGGTCAGGTTCGATTCCTCCGCCCCTCTCAGAGAGCCCGGCAAGCTACCGAGGGTATCTCGCCCGCACGGCAAAGCCTGGCAAGCTCCCGGTGATGTACTCGATATGCCAGACACAGTAACAACAAAGTCTCCAATGGAGACGTTACTGGGCCCGCTTGAGCAAATCGATGATCAGCGGGAGGGCCTTTACTTTACTTTACTTTACTTTAATGTGATTTTAAAAATAGTGGAATATAGAATATTACTTTTTGCTCAGAAAATAGTTTGGTGGCACTGTGTATGTGTGTGTGTGTGATTTTTTATTTTCATGCACATCCACCAGTGGTGCTCAGGACTTGCTTCTGGTTCTGCACTTAGGAATCACTCCTGGTGGGGCTTGAGGAATCTTGTCGAGTTCCTGGGGTTGAACCACAGGTTAGATTAACACACTGCCCGCTGTACTTAAGCTTTTATTAACTTTTTTTTTTTTACATTTGATTCAATAGATGATTAGGATTTTTTTTTTTTTAAGACTCTTGGCCACAGCTGGCAGTAGTTAGGGCTTAATTCCGCCTCCGTGGCTTAGTGGTCACTCCTGGTGGAGCTTGGGGAACCAGAGATGGAACCCAGATCAGCCACATGCAAGGCATGCTCCCAACCGACTGTACTACTCCTCTGGCCCCAAGGACTTTTGATTTTTGTCACCACAAATAACTCACAAATGTGGTTTTAACAAAGTACAAGTATCATCCCTGTTAATTGGGCTACTGGAAATAGAGAAATCAAGAAATGCAAAGGAAGAAATATGGGAAGTAGCGTGCACACTGATTAGTTAAAACAAGGGATTTTACTTCATCTTAACATGAGTACTTTTTTAAATAAAGTTAAAGGTGGAAGCTTAATTGTTCCTATTTTCTTCAAACTTAGCTGTATTCATATGTCTGAAATTTGTGAGAAAACTAGTAGACTGATGATATTGTTACTTTTTTTAACATTTTTTTTTTCTTTTTGAGTCACACCTGGCGATGCACAGGAGTTACTCCTGGTTCATGCACTCAGGAATTACTCCTGGCGGTGCTCGGGGGACCATATGGGTTGCTGGAAATGGAACCTAGGTTGGCTGCGTGCAAGGCAAACGCCCTACCCGCTGTGCTATTGCTCCAGCCCCACTTTTTTTTAACTTATATTTTTAAGCCATGGTTTGAAATACCTCTGTCAAGCATTTTTCTCAGGATCCTAGATTCTTGGCAGAATCTAATTCTTCGCTATCATTTGGCGCTTAAGTTTAAGAAACAGACCTAGAAATCATTCACATTTAGATTACATTTTCTGTTTATTTTGTTCTGGGGTCACACCTAGTGATGCTCAGGGCTCACTCCTTGTGCTGCCCTCAAGAATCACTCCTGTCATTGCTTGGGGCGGGGGGGGGGGGGTCATGTTGAGTGCCAGGGTTCATACCCATGTTGGCCATATACAGGGTAACTTCCTTACCCGCTTTACTATCTCTGGTCCTTAGATTACGTCTTTATGTATTGCTGGGTGTATTGCTTCAGTACCCTATCAGTTAATGTTAAACATGTAATTAAATTCAGTACTTTTGTTTCAGTAGCTTAAAGCAATACAACTTCGAATTTGTTGGGTGTTTTTGTTAGTGTTGTTTTTGTTTGGGAAGCATACCTGACTTCTCAGGGATCATTTATGGTGGGCTTGGGGAACCGTATGGGGTCCTAAAATCAAATCTGGGTCAGCTGCGTGAAATCAAGTGCCCTACTGGCTATACTATGGTTCCACCCCAATAAAACTTCTAATTGTATGTGTATATTTGATGTATACAAATGCAGGTTGCCTTTATTTTTGCATGTCATCTTTTCAGGACATCTGTTTATGACATCTTATTATCTCATTCCTACTTTGGACAAACTTGCAGGCTATTGAATGTAGCCTGCCCACAGGGCAGAGTCTGGCAAACTCCCCGGGGCGTACCAAATATGCCAAATACCAGTAACAATGATGGGTCTCATTCTCCTAAAGAGCCTTGAATATAATCTCAGGGCTAGGATGAAAGAGACGTTACTGGGGCCTGCTCGAGGCAATCGACGAATAACAGGATGATGAATGAATGAATGAATATCAGTAGAGAGAAAAGGAATGATCAAATGAAAGAAATAAATTTTAATGTAAGGAAATGGAAGGAATATGCAGAATGATAGGAGAAATGACAGAAAATTTTAGTAGAGGAATGGAAAAAAGAAAATGGAAATATTAAAGCAGCCTTTTCATCCATAGTTCTTCAAATGAGATTGTATCGAAGATCTGCAAATACAAAGGAGATTAAAAGAAATACAAATCTACATCTCAGATGGTAGTTTTTATGGCTGTCACACTGGGACAGTTCTCTTTGGTTAACTTGAGAATTAATCAGGGAACATAGTTTTGGCTGCTATTGAAGACAGTTATGAATCTGTTTTCTACTTAATTTGACATTCGGCCACTTACTATTGGCTACCTCTTCATATAGATTGATTACTGCTTTATGGCTTTCTAAGAGAGGAGGCCAAAAGTGAAGGTAAGATAGTAGCAAGTTGTATTGGAAAAGCAACTCAATAAATGCTTTATATAGTTTAGACCATGAGGCAACAGGGATTGGCCCTATCAACTTGTATTTAAAAAGCATAAATTTTTTTTTTTATAATTTATTTATTTATTGAATCACTGTGGGAAAAGTTACAGAGCTTTCGGGTTTAGGTCTCAGTCATGTAGATACCAAACACATTTCCCTTTACCAATACTCATTTTTAACCCCGAACCCCAATAGACCCCCACCTCCCACCCCTCCCAATTCTTTGTGAGGCAGATGAGTTCTAGTTAATACTCTATCTACTTTGACTAGATAGATTATTTCGATAGAAGATGCACAATTATTGTTTAGAGTTTACGACCCCCCCCCCCAATCAGACATGCTGAAACAGCGTTGTGAAATGATTTGCTTTCTACAACTTGGTTTAAGAATAAAATGATGTCGCGCGGCCGCAATAGCGGCCGCGCGGTTTTGAATTTCTGCTATTTTACTTATTGACCCTGGAAGAATTTCTATTAAAAGTTAGCTAGTTAAGAGATTGGTTTCTGTGCCCTGGAGTCGTGGCCGTGCCGGAGAGCCGCTCGTGGGGGGCAGCTGGCGACCTCGGTGGGGCGTGGGGGACAGCCCACAAAGCCCCCCTTCCCATGAGGTCCCCGCCGCTCCCCCGAGCCCGGCTCAAACCCGCTTTCCACAAGGCTCCCGTGCGGCCGCCATCTTTCTTTCCAGAGAGGAGCAGGCGGGCCGGTCAACGCCCTTCCCCCTCCGGGCAGGCTTGGTGGCGCAGATCAACACAAGTCCATTTGCTTTTCTGCTCCAAGCAGCTGGTTCTCTGTGCTAAGTCCTTGTGCCTCCGGGGCCGTGGCCGTGCCGGAGAGCCGCTCGTGGGGGGCAGCTGGCGACCTCGGTGGGGCGTGGGGGACGGCCCACAGAGCCCCCCTTCCCATGAGGTCCCCGCCGCTCCCCAGAGCCCGGCTCAAACCCGCTTTCCACAAGGCTCCCGTGCGGCCGCCATCTTTCTTTCCAGAGAGGAGCAGGCGGGCCGGTCAACGCCCTTCCCCCTCCGGGCAGGCTTGGTGGCGCAGATCAACACAAGTCCATTTGCTTTTCTGCTCCAAGCAGCTGGTTCTCTGTGCTAAGTCCTTGTGCCTCCGGGGCCGTGGCCGTGCCGGAGAGCCGCTCGTGGGGGGCAGCTGGCGACCTCGGTGGGGCGTGGGGGACGGCCCACAGAGCCCCCCTTCCCATGAGGTCCCCGCCGCTCCCCCGAGCCCGGCTCAAACCCGCTTTCCACAAGGCTCCCGTGCGGCCGCCATCTTTCTTTCCAGAGCTAAAAAGCATAAATTTTTTTAAAAAATCACTACTCTCTTTTAGTCTGCTCCAGAGAAAGCTCTAAAGACCCAAGATTCATGTAGAAAAATATGTAGGGGGAAAAAATCTCTAAATTACACTTCAGTGTATGAACACTTCAACTAAATGATCACATTAATATTTTTACTTTGCAGGAAGTTGGTGAACCATCTAAAGAAGAGAAAGCTGTAGCCAAGTATCTTCGATTCAACTGTCCAACAAAGTCCACCAATATGATGGGTCACCGGGTTGATTATTTTATTGGTAAAATGATCAGTAAAATTTTTAGTGTATATACCTTATGACAGTACCTAAATTTAAGTTGTGTAAACCTTTAAATAGTCGTTTTCTAATGTGATTGAGGAAGCTACATGAGGGATATATAGCAATTATCCTATTCTTTTATGCTTATGTTCAACTGTTAATAACCAGAGGATAAAAGGTGTTTCATAATGACTTTGTTAGGAATTTTAAAGACTATTTTCAACAATACAAACAAAGCAATACAAACAATACAATACAAAGTGCGATACTACTTCATCCACATAGTATATCTACTTAAAGATAATCTTTTTGGGGACCAGAGAGATAGTACAGTGGATAGATCATTTGCCTTGTATGTGTCTGACCCAGGTTCAATCCCCAGCACCCCATATGGTCTCCTGAGCTGACGGATGATGATCCCTGAGCTCGAATAAGGAGTAAGCCCTGAGAACCACTAGGTGTGACTCAAAAAAAAAAAAAAAACAAAAAGAAATAAAGATTATATTTCTGTAAAACTGGAGTAAAATTCAATGTGAAACAGATTGGTTAGAACCAACTAAGGCACTGTGGTTCTTTCCATAATCCAGTCTCATCATATACAAAGTCATCTATATCTCCAAAGTTTATATATGGTGATTAATATTGCCTATTTCATCAATTAAGATTGAATTGGCATTAGAAAATAAATTTTTCTCTTCTCTTTATTGTGTTATAATTTTTTATTTTAACATTCATTAAAAGTTTAGAAAATACAAATAATGCTCTTCTCCTCAGATGTGATACATTTAGCTTCTTCCAGTGAAAGCAGTAGAGTGTGCACTATGCTTACTCCATGGGTTACCAAAAAAACTTTTTGTGGGGAGTCATAGATGCCGGGCAGAAACCGTCTTGTGTGTGCAAAGCATGTGCTCTCACTCAGCTTTGTCCTTAGCCCTGGGCCCAGTAAAACATGATGACAGAAATTCTGTTACCCTAATGTGAAGGAAGAGTTTAGGGCTGTGTTACTCCATTTAATTGTGATTGCTTGATAAGAGTGATACTTTGTATTGTTTAGAACACTTCTATTTGTCTCACTAGAGTAAATGTTTTTTAATGTAACTTGGTTGCTAGCATTATATCATAGACTTGAGTTTTTGTTGAACTTGATTTTTTCATGCCGAATACTGAAATTTGTTTTACCAGATACAACATTTTTATAGATAGATATAAATCCCATGTATACTAAACTTAAAATAATGAATTTCTTCTTTAGCTTCAAAAGCAGTGGATTGCCTTTTGGATTCAAAGTGGGCAAAAGCCAAGAAAGGCGAGGAAGCTTTGTTTACAACAAGGGAGTCTGTGGTCGACTACTGCAACAGGTAGAGTTTCTTTCTTAGTGAAGGGCAGTGTAAAGAATAGTTCTAAAGTGTTCTCCATAGTTCTGAACTTCTTACCTACTTTGTCATAAAATGTAGTCATATCACATCATAGCTCAAATAGAGCCTTTATATACAACCTAATTTTTTCAGTATCTCTGGAAATATGTTTATTTGGTATTACAGTATCATATTTTGATATTTTTGTTTTCTGTTACATTAATACATTTCCCAGGCTGGCCAAAGAGTCAACAATAAGAAACGTTTAATAGACCCTATAGTGAATGGAAGGTTCGTTCTTGCACAAGTAGCTTGGTAAAGGTAAGGTAAAGGTAAAGGCCCTCCCGTTGATCGTCGATTTGCTCGAGCGGGCCCAGTAACGTCTCCATTGGAGACTTTGTTGTTACTGTGTCTGGCATATCGAATACTCTCGGTAGCTTGCCGGGCTCTCCGAGAGGGGCGGAGGAATCGAACTCGGGCCAGCCATGTTGGCCGCTTGTAAGGCGAACGCCATACCCGCTGTGCTATCGCTCCAGCCCAAGTAGCTTGGTAGTCTTTTTCAAAGTTTTGTCAGGGTTTTCTAAAGACATTTTATTTGTTTGTTTGTTTACTGTCTTTGTGCCAAACTTTCAGCCAGCTACCCTGCCCTATATTTTGAGTGATTGCTAAGGAATTCTTATAACATCAAGGCAGCTGCAGTGTCTCTCTTTGATTCCAAGTTGAAGTGTGGACAGCTCAGTAGTATGTTCATATTTTTTAATAGATACTTCTCTTTGGGAAAAAATGGTGGGTGATATACAAAAATTTTCCTTTTGGAAAGAAGTGTAATTTTTTCCCATCTTTTCTTTTGATTTACTTATTTTTTAAATATTTTTAGATGTTTGGTAAGCTGGATTTTGTTTTTAACTAAATTTTGATTTTGTGACACTAAGTTTATCTTTGGTCAGAATTTCACATTTTGGATGGTTTTATGCTTAGCATTTGCTAACATATTGTTTAATGGGGTTTAAAGTATTAATCACATGTTGGGGGTATGGTGCCGCCAGCAGGTCAGTCTGTACCTGTAAGGCGAGTGCATCAGCAACCTGATGGCGCCTTTAGACTTCCAGATACCTCAAAATTGCTGCTGTGCCTTTGGCCAGACCCCAACCACTTGAGGCCAAGTTTACCAAGAAAGTAAATGGCCAAAAGTTAGGTATGTGGGAGACACACCCACAAACCACATCCAGCTCAGCTATACAATTGGAGGCAAGGCCTCTCTGATTCCTGATCAAACTGCTTAACGGCCGTGATCCAAGAGACTCAGAAACAAATCTCGAAACCCAGTGGCTTTTGGCAGAAATGTGTTCCATCCCTGCAGTAGGTTACTGGCGCCAGGACACCCCAGGTGGGAATAGGTTTCGTCCCTTGGTCTGTTCCCCCTGGTGACTCGGTGGCCGCCATCCTCCAGAGGCCAGCAGACAGTCAGGTTTTGGCCCACAGTGACATGAGACACACAGGACCTCATGGAATGGGGGTGGAGCCAGCCTGTTCCTCCACACCCCAATGAGACCCTGGTTCGCCGCCCACAAACGGCCTCTCTGGCTCCTGATCAAGCCGCTTAATGGCCATGATCCCAGAGGCTCAGAAACAAATCTCAGAACCCAGCAGCTTTTGGCAAAAATGCATCTGGGTCCCACAGTAGGTTACTGTTGCCGGGCCACCCCAGGGGGAAAGGGTGCTGTCCCTCCGCCAGCCCCCCCCCCCCTTCGCGACTCAATGGCCACCATCCTTCAGAGGCCACTGGACAGTCAGATTTAGGCCTGCAGTGACAAGATATTTTGGGCCTCTCGGGATGAGGGTGGAGCCGGCCCTTTTTTCCCTGTCCCATTGAGAACCTGAGTTGCTGCCCACAAACGGACTCTCTGGCTCCTGATCAAGCTGCTTAACGACCATCCCAGAGACTCAGGAACAAATCTCGGAACCCAGCAGGTTTTGGCAAAAATCCCTCCAGATTTAAGTGTTAAAATTTCGAATTTAAAAATCGCACGGCCACTACTGCAGCCACGCGGCATCATATGTTACTCATACCCAGCAATAGAAAACAAATTTTTCATTGTTGCCTTTTCAGCAGATCTGAGTGTTGGGGTAAAAATCCCAAATAATAATGGTGGGTCTGGTGTCAAAATATTGAATGTAATCAAAGTAGAGAGAGAGTCATGTGTAAATCATCTGCCCCAGAGGTAGGGGGAGGGTGTGAGAAGCAGGTATACTGGGGTTTTTGGTGGTGGAGAATGGGCACTGTTGAAGGTATGGGTGTTTCATTGTATGACTGAGACTTAAACCTGAAAGCTTTGTAACTGCTCTCACGGTGATTCAATAAATAAAATTAGAAAAAAATGAAAAAAAAAAGTAAGGTGGGGTTCATGCCCAATTCAATCAGCCTAATTAGTGGCTGAATAAATAGCAGTACTCCTACATAAAAATATATATATATATATTAATCTCATGAAATCTCTTTCAAAAACTGTAGTTAGAAATTAGTAGGTTTCTAATGCTGTAAGGTTAAAGAGGTTTTATTTATTTATTAATTGTCCAGAATTAGTGTCCCTAACTTATAGAACCAATGCAGATTTCATTATTGGAATAGCTAGTGCAGGGTTGCCTTGCGTCTGGCCTGCTCTTACGCAAACCTCTAGCGCCACATACAGTCTCCCCAGCACCACCAGGGCTGACTCCTGAGTACAGAAATCAGGAATCGCATTGAGCAACACTGTTAGGGCCTAACCCTCCCTTTCTACTTCAGCCTCCCCTCCCCCCATAGAAAGAAAATTTCATTATTGGCCAAGGATGACTTAAACAGTAATAAAGTAGATACTTGCCTTTAGAACTGTTTGTGATTTTATAGCTTCAAAATGTAAATTTCTCTACTTGGCACGAAAAGAAATTTTTTAAAGATATGGTATAAAAAGTTAGAGATGCTCTAAACGCAAGTGGCAGAGCTGTCACTCTCTTTGATCTCCTTAATCTTCAGTACCAAGCTTTATAACTTAGCTCTCAAGTGCTGCATTTTGTCCGTCCAACAAAGATATATTTGCAGGGCTGGAGTGATTGATAGCACAGCAGGTAGGGTGTCTTGCACATGGCACGACCCAGGTTTGTTTCCCAGCATCCCATATGGTCCACCGAGCATGGCCAGGAGTAATTCCTGAGTGCATGAACCAGGAGTAATCCCTGTGCATCGCTGGGTATAAACTAAAAAGCAAAAAAGAAAAGAGATATTTGCTAGAATTCATTGCATTCAATATAGCTATATATATTTATTTATTTATTTATTCACCTATCAAGATGCCTAAATATTAAATCTGTGAGCTCAAATTAGTCCACGTATCTTTGTCTTTTTAGACCCTCAACATCTTGTCATATGAAAAGTCCCTAAGATATAACTATAGGGCATTTTCTAGATACACTCTGTTCATTGTATTTTAGTCTCATGTTAGTTTGCATGTGTCCCTTGAACTGAAATAAAGAAGCATGACGACCAGTTCTTCAAAGCCGCTTCTAATACAACCATGAAAGCCTCATAATCACCCTTCATGGTTTCCTGTCTGACCAGAGACAAAAATCACAAAGGGTCACTGATGCCGTCTGTTTCTGAAGCTACTATGTGGACTTGAGGGAGTCCAAGAAACAGAACAGATAAAGAGGGAAGTGTAGAGAGAGACATACAAAACAATATTTTCTAGCATACTCTCTGCCTTTTTCAGGTCTGTTTTAAAGCGTAAGCTCTCCCTTCTTGAATCTAGCACCACTCTTGCTGCTCTCCATATGACTTTGTGTCTTCGACCTCCCGTCCAGTAAAGTCCTTTCTCCCTTTCATACTTACGCCACATTCTCCTCTGATCTTTCTTTGATCCTGACCTACAGCTATCACCAAATGGTTCTTCTCATGACTGCTCTCAGTAATACGAGTATCCCCTAGTGCCTATTGCTACCGTTCCCCACACCTGCCAGCCACATTAATCTTTGTAATCAGGTTCTACAGAACTTGTAAAGAGCTGTACAGCCAGTAATGCTAAAGGTTTATTTCTAGTTCTACTTGTCCTCAGTGATTACTCCTGGCAGTGCTTGGGGGACCATATGGGGTGACAGAGATCAAACATGGGTCGGCCATATGCAAGGCAAGTGCCCTACCTGCTGTAATATCTTCCTAGCCCAGAATTATTAAAGGCTTATCACACAGTTTAGTCATTAGCTGTTTTAGAATTGCTGCATATATTAAGATTTTTTAAGTTTATTGTCAGCTATGCCTAAGGATAATCATGGTTGTTTTCTTTTTAATTTTATTCTAACCTGACAGCTATTAGCAATATGTGGGCATTTAGAAGCCATTTATTATCTATTTAAAACTGCCTTTAATCCATTATTTATTCAAACAGAAAAGATGTCAAATACCTATTGTATGCCAGCTTCCAGAAATAGAAAGATGACAACATGATCCCCAGAGCACAAGTTCTAGACTGTAAACAGAAGAATATAATTATATAAGAACATAATTCATAGCTAATTACAATGCACTGTTTTCCATAAGGAGCACAGAAATGAGGGAGCTTGAAGAGTAGCTTCACAGGAAAATGTCTTAATTGTATTTTGGAACATAAATAGATAGTTCACAAACAAGACATTTCATCTTGGCAAATGGCACAGAACATACTGAGATGTGCAAGTATGAGTAGTCCAGTGAAAATGCTGGAGAGCTTTTTATGATCTGAACATACAGTTAAATGGAAGCACTGGTTTTATTAGAATAGGGGATCACATCTCACTTATCAAGATAATAGCATTCAAGGCCAAGCAAGAAATATGTGAAAGATTGTATTTTTTACTAAGTGTAGTAATACTGTAATGGAATGATTATGAAACTAAATGTGTGTTTCATAATTATTAAATAAAAATCAAGATTTTACTGTAGCCATAATAACATTGAGTACAGATATCACAGGTACGATGCTAAATAATCTGCATGATTCTCATTTGGCCCTAGAATCAACCTCTGTGATATATATGTATATATGTATATGTATACATACACACACACACATATATATACACATATGTGTTTGTGTGTGTGTGAATATATATATATATGATTTTAGAAATAAACTAAAAATGTCCAACCTGGTACCACAAATAAAGTTAGATGCTGTTTGAACCCTTCTGCCTGAATAAGAACTTTTCAACACCAGTTTGATTGGTTAATAATCTACTTTCAGAGTCGGAAATAAAGTACAACAGTTAGGGTGCTGGCCTTGCATGCTACTGACCCAGGTTTGATTCCCTGACATTCCATGGTTCCCCTGAGCATCGCCAGGAGTGACCCCTGGGCATTGCCAAGTGTTGCCCCCACAAAAATAAAAAGATCTTTTTAAAATTTAAGAAAAATCTACTTTCCTTTCTTGAGGTTGGAGCTGTTGTACAGGAAGGATGACAGAGTGGCTGGGCCTGCAGTGTCCTCTACGCCTCTGTTTTCTTCTAAAGTTTTATGAGTTTTTTTTAAGTTTTATCTTTATTGGGAACATTTTTTTTATATGTAACTTTGAGAAAACTTTGAAAATGATTCAGAAGAAAATCTAGACTACTGATAATATTTCCTCTGAGATACCAACACTAATATTTGAGGATGTAACCGGTCTTTTCATTTCGTTTTATTTTGGTGCCGTATCTTGGCAATGCTCACGGCTTACTCCTGGCAGGGTGCTGGGGACCATATGGAGTGCTGGAGATCAAACTTGGGTCATCCCTGTGCAAGATACATGCCCTACCTGCTCTGCTATCACTCTGGCCCCAAGAATATAACAGATCTGAATAACATTGGTTTATAACATTGATGAGGGGGAAAAAGACCAGTGAACATACAATAAGTAGGATGTATTTTCTGCTTCGCTTTAAGTAATAGTGTTCCTCGTAGAAAATCTGGAAAGCATCTTGTGTGCAAATGTAAAATCAGAATACTTTAAAAATTTTTGTGAGGCATTAGGGAGTTTCCTTTCATATTCAAACACTCACCACAACTCTATATGTCCCTTTATCCTGATATCATTGTTAGGGGTTTTATTTCAGATTTTTATTCACATGTATATGCACATGACAGGTATTGATGGTAGAATCCTTCGGTGCATTTGAGACCGTTGCCCAGAGAATGCGGAATAAACAAATACAAGTAGGGGCCTGTGAAGTAATGCAAGGGTGAAGCCTTGGCTCCCAGCTCAGCATAGTGTCTTCTGAGCACTGTGGGCGTGGCCCAGAACAAACTTTTGAACAAGTAGAATAGGCCAGATGAGGAGACCTAAAGTTAGTTTTGTGTAGTTTTTTATGGGGTGGACCTATTTGTGCAACAGGAAAATACCCTGCCAGACAGGTGAAAACGTATGCTTGAGGGGGCACAATGTACTCACCACAAGTAAATAGGAATATTGTTAACAAGTGGTATGATGTATTGGAGCAGGCACCAGTAAAGGTAGACATCTGGATAATCACGGTGAACAGTCATAGATGGTGCCAGTGAGACCTATCTTCAAGGTTGTGATTTGATAATCATACATAATCAAGGCAGGAATGAAGAAAGAATAAGGAATTCTGGCACTGGAACATAAGATTTGAAAAGCTGATTTTCAGATAATAAAGGTAAGGTCAATCCACTTTCATGATAGGGTTTTATAATTGGAAAGAACTACTATCAAAAATGACTTCTGGGTCAGTTGAGCTCAACAGATAAATGAGTAAAGCAAGGATTTCATTTAGTTTAGAACCTAGTAAAGGGGCAAGCAGGCATCATAGAAATTATGTATTGTTAGAAAAGAAACCCTTTGGTTAGAATAATAAGAGGCAGTTAGAATGGGTCTTGGATTTTTTTTTTTTTTTTTTTTTTTTTGCTTTTTTGGGTCACCCGGCGATGCACAGGGGTTACTCCTGACTCTGCACTCAGGAGTTACTCCTGGCCGTGCTCGGGGGACCATATGGGATGCTGGGAATCAAACTCCGGTCGGCCATGTGCAAGGCAAACGCCCTACCCGCTGTGCTCTCGCTCCAGCTCCGGGTCTTGGATTTTTAAAAAAAATTTTGGTTGAGGTTTGCCTAGCCAAGTGGTGTTCAGGGACCTGTCAACCATCCCAATGGCACTTGACCAAGTGGGCAGCAAAGGGAGCATTCATGTAAGGGCCTGAGGATTCTGGGGTTTACCTGTGACCCCTATACTCGGAGCCTCCAGGCCCTAGGTACCATGCAGTGCGGAGATCAGACCAGAGTTGATTGCATGTAACATATGCACATCTTAATCCGTGAACTATCTCTAGGGCCCTGGGCTGCTTATTTTAAATGAGTTTTATATAGAAATTAGCATTTGCAGGAAGGCAATGAGAGTGAATCCAGATGACAGGCTTAAGGGTTAGGACTGTTTGAAAAACAGCACAGCCACTTGATGAAGGGGAGGATGGTATACTGAAAGGGGTAAAATAAATGTATAGTTTCACCATAATGTCCACGTTTCAGTTTGGTATTGAGAGTTTTCAGTTGTTGCAGAATATGTAGATCTTAGCATATCAAATTATCTGCTGTTCCATTATAGTGGCTGGCGAAATAGCAAAGAACGTGGGGGAGAAGAAAGGTAACAGGAAAAGAGCCAGAGATAGGATCTGGATCAGCTAAAGCAGCTATTTGGGGGCAGGGCGTGGGGGAGCGGTTTATCGTGGAGGAAGCCTGGGCCTGCCCACCAGTGCTCAGGGTTTCCTCCTGGCGGGGCGAATGAATGGGACTGGATGCAGCGCTGCCAGCTCTGAGAACGGCAGGTGCCTTCCCCACTGAAGCGCCTCTCAACCCCCAACTTGCATTTTTGATCTGTTGACATTTCTTAAATTATGTTTGCTTTTACTTTTCTGTTCTTGAATTTGGAACTTAACATTAAGTAACACATCTTAGTGACTGACTCTTGCTAAACCTAGAGGTGGAGGGGTACAAACCTGCATTTCTTACACCTAAGCTATCATTTAAAAATGAAGACTAGGTGACGTCTTTTATATAATCAAAATGGTTGAGTGTTTTTTATTAGAGGTGGTGTTGATTATTTTTCTGTGAAGTTCCTAGTTTTCATTTCTGTTGCGACTTAACAATTCAGGCCTTTGTTCACTTTTATCAGATCATTATATTTTAACATTTTAGTCTACATATGCATAATAAAAAATAGGAAATGAAATGCTACACTTTTTTTTTAAGGCTATTAAAGAAACAGTTTTTTCACCGGGCGCTGAAAGTAATGAAACTGAAGTATGACAAAGACATAAAAAAAGAAAAGGAAAAAGGAAAAACTGAAAGTGGTAAAGAAGAAGATAAAAAGAACAAGAAAGAGAACCTAAAGGATGAGAAGACAAAAAAAGAAAAAGAGAAAAAAAAAGATGGTGAAAAGGAAGACTCCAAAAAGGTGATTTAAACTAAAAATTGTTGCATGCACATAGCTACAGCTGGCATAAACACATAATAACAAAAATTATTTCTGAGATCACCACATTAGTACTCTTAAAAATACCATGATTGAGAATTTTTGTTTCAAATAATGAATCATTTTGTACTATATGGATGTCCTATTTTTTTTTAACTTGTTTTTTTTTTCTACCTTCAATTCAACTTGGAATTTAATAGGAAGAAACTCCAGGAACTCCCAAAAAGAAAGAAACTAAGAAAAAATTCAAACTTGAACCACATGATGATCAAGTTTTTCTGGATGGAAATGAGGTAAGAATATCTAACCTACAATTAGAAGTCCAGTTTTTCATAGTTCTGTAGAATTATCTTTGATGCCTTAACCAAAGAAAAGAAGTCATTTCAATTTAACAGTATATTAATGAATGCTCCTTTTGTTTATTTGTTTTGTGGCTTTTTGGGTCACACCCTGCAGTGGCACTCGGATTACTTCTGACTCTGCACTCAGGAATCACTCCTGGTAGTTCTCAGTGTTCTTATGGGATGCCGGCCATTGAACCCCGGTCAGCTGAATGCAAGGCAAACGCCCTACCTGCTGTACTACCGTCCAATAAATCTACTCCTTTTAAAATATAGATTTCTCTGAATATAGAATTATGCAATATTTAATTAAAATTAGATTATAGGGATAGAGCTGGTGATAGGGCCTTGCATGCAGCCAACCTTGGTTCAGATTTCCTAGCATCATGTATGATCTCCTGAGTACTGCCAAGTGTGGCCCCTGAAACAAAATCAGTGAAAATCAGGTTATGCTGGTGTGAGTGATCTAAAAAGTCAAATAGGGAATTACAAAGTAGTTTTTTTCTTTTTAATCAGTTACATATGAGGGTAAATTGTATAGATACAGTAGTTTCCTGGTGGATTCTGCACTTAGTGTTAACTGCATAGAACCCATGACTGCGGGTCTTACATTTGCACCCCAGGAAAGCTAGGGGATTGAGGGACATATCTCCTCTTAAGAACACCTTCCAAGAAGAGGCACTTTCATTTTTTCTTGGATTTTGTTGGCCTGAACCTAGCAATGATGTGCCTATATGCAAAAAGTCTTAGAAATGTGTCTTAATACTGGTAATATTTGCCTTCTAAAATTCAGAATTTCCATTACTATCAGGGGAAAAAAAGTGAAGAGGTTGCTGGAGCTACTAGTTTCTGCCTCTTCTACTGTAGGTAGTCAGGCACATTGTGGGCTCACATTTTTCTACTTTCGTTTTATTCAAGGAGGTAAGTTTTGTGTCTTTTGAAGTGGAAGGCGGGCTGCTTTAAAATTCAGTCATTTAACAAAGTAAACCGCAGCCCCAGATGAATAATGTAGTGACCACTGAATTGTGAATTAGGAGATCTATTTTATTGTTTAAAAATTAAAGACATACCTTTTCTACCATACTTACTACAAAAAATACTATAAAATAGTAGTTCCTAAAGCTGTGAATTTGAAATTCTGGCATTTGAGATTCTGGCAAGTGTTTTTTAAAACTTTATCTGGGGCCTAAAGAAATAATACACAGGCCTAAAGAAATAATACACTAGGCCTTGCGTGCAGCCGAACCCCAGTTTGGTCCCCATATGTGGTCCCCTAAGGACCACCAGGAGTGATTTCTGAATACTGAGTGTGGCCCAGAAAGCAAACCAGAAAGAAAATAACTTCTGTCCCCAGGAGATAGCTCAGTGGGCTGGGAAAAAAAGGTGTATGCTTTTTCTAAAGGATCTGATTTCTAGAATAAATGTGCAGTGTGGAAGAGACCTATCTCCTACTAGTTGAGAGAGAAATCAAAAAGACAAAATGTTCTGATCAAAATATAACCAGGAAATGGCACTAAAGATTTAAAAAGGGGGATTTTATGAGTAATGCTTAAGCAGAACTTGGATTGACTGGATGATGAAGTGAAATTCTCTTGTGTAATTAAATTAAACTTTAAAGTAGTAGTTCCCATGCCCTGTGCAGATCCTATTCTTCCTGAGGGAATAGACTTCGAAATTCTTGTTGAGTTATAGGATCTTTATGTTCACCTTAGCATGATCTTTTATCATGATTTTTTGCATTTCATCGGAGGAAAAGAACAGGGTAGAGTTGCCTGATCTTTTAATAGCAGCTGACTCTGTTCTGATGGTGCTTTTAGCCAAAACTGTACATCTGGGTGTATCTGCACTTCTTTTATGTATTTATTTATTGTAGGAGTACTGCTATTTATTCAGCCACTGATTAGCTGATTGAATTGGGCATGAACTCCATCTTACTATTTTTTATTATCATTTATTTATTTTTTCTCTTTATATTTATTTATTGAATCACTGTGGGAAAAGTTACTAACCTTTCAGGTTTAAGTCTCAGTCATATAATAATCAAACACCTTTCCCTTCACCAGTACTCACTTTTCACCACCAAGAACCCCAGTATACCTCCCCTCCCACCCCTCCAAATGCCTGTGAGGCAGATGATTTCTACTTAACTCTTCTCTACATTGATTACATTCATTATTTCGACAAAAGATGCACCATTATTGTTTAGAATTTCCCCCCAAACAATCAGAATTGCTGAAAAGGCATTGTGAAATACTTTGTTTTCTATAACTGGTTATGAGAATCATATAATGTCACATGGCCACGATTTTGGATTTCTGCAAAGAGCCAGATAATTACGAGATTGGTTTCTGTGTGTCTGGTGTTATGGCCGTGCCGGAGAGCCACCCGCCCATGGGGGGTAACTCGTGACCTCAGTAGGGCGTGAAGGACGTGCCGGTACTGCCCCCCTTCCCATGAGACTGCAGTTGCCCCGTCACCGCTAGCTCGTACTGGCTTTTCTATAAGCTCTGAGGCAGTGGCCACCTTGCTGCCGGGGGGGGGGGGGGGGGGGGGGGGGGGGGAGAAGGCGGAAGGGAGCAGCACCCTTTCCCTCCCTGGGAGGCATGGCGCCGTAGTTGAACGCATGGTCCTTTCACTTTTCAGCCGCAAGCTGCCGGGTTCTGGATTAAGTCCTTTTGCCTCTGGATCCATGGCTGTGCCTGAGAGCCGCTTGTGGGGGGTAACTCATGACCTCGGTAGGGCGTGAAGGACGAGCCGGTACTGCCCTCCTTCCCATGACACTGCAGTTGCCCTGTCACCGCCGGCTCATACCTGGCTTTCCTATAAGCTCTGAGGTGGCGGCCACTTGCTGCCGGGGGGAGGGGGGGAGGGGGGGCTGGGAAAGGCAGGAGCAACACCCTTTCCCTCCTGGGGAGGCATGGCGCTGTAGTTTAAGGCATGGTCCATTCACTTTTCTGCCGCTCACTTCCTGGCTCTGGATTAAGTCCTTTTGCCTCTGGAGCCATGGCTGTGCCAGTGAGCCGCTTGTGGGGGGCAACTCGTGACCTCAGTAGGGCGTGAAGGACGAGCCGGTACTGCCCTCCTTCCCATGAAACTGCAGTTGCCCTGTCACCGCCGGCTCATACCTGGCTTTCCAATAAGCTCTGAGCCGGCAGCCACCTTGTATGCAGTCCAGATGTATTTCTGCCAAAAACCGCTGGGTTTCAAGATTTGTTTCTGAGTCTCCAGTATCATGGCTATTAATCAGCTTGATCAGGAGCCAGAGAGGCCATTTGTAGGCGGCAACTCGGGGTCTCGTTGAGATGGGGAGAAAGAGTCGGCTCCACCCCCATGTGGTGAGGTCCCGTGTGTCTCGTCACTGAAGGCCCAAACCTGACTGTCCAGTGGCCTCTGGAGGATGGTGGTCACCGGGCCTCCAGAGGGAACAGGCCAAGGCACGAAACCTATTCCCACCTGGAGTGATCCAGCGCCAGTAACCTACTGCAGGAACAGGACGCATTTCTGCCAAAAGCCTTTGTGTTCCGAGATTCGTTTCTGAGACTCTGGGATCATGGCCGTTAGGCAGTTCGATCAGGAACCAGAGAGGCTATGCCTCCAATTATATAGCTGAGCTGGAGGTGGTTTGTGAGTGTGTCTCCCACATACCTAACTTTTGGCCGTTTACTTTCTTGGTAAACTTTGCCCCAAGTTTTTGGAGTCTGGCCAAAGGCACAGTAGCAATTTTGGGGTATCTGAAAGTCTGACGTTGCCATCAGGCTGCTGATGCACTCGCCTCACAGGTACAGATTGACCTGCTGGCGGCACCATACCCCCATGCACTTCTTTTAGATGCAAGAAGTTTGTACAGTTAGTTGCTGTTCATTAAGGTGAATAATGTTTCCCATCATTGATGAGATTGCAATTTGAACGAGTTCTTAAATTCATGAAAGTGTATAGAAGTCATTTAGCTGTTTTTTATCTAAATGAATACCAAGAGATCTGAAGAAAAGATGTTTGAAATTTGTTACCTTAAAAAATAGTTGTTCATTCGCCCGATCCTCTCTGGAAAGAAAGATGGCGGCCGCACAGGAGCCTGTGGACAGCAGGTTTGAGCCGGGGGTGGGGGTGGCAGGGACCTCATGGGAAGGGGGGCGTTCTGGGCCGTCCTTCACTCCCCACCGAGGGTTTTATTCTTAAACCCAGCTGTAGAAAGCAAATCATTTCACAATGCTGTTTCAGGATGTCTGATGGGGGGGGGGGGGGGTCGTAAACTCTAAACAATAATGGTGCGGCTTCTATCGAAACAATGTATCTAGTCAAAGTAGATAGAGTATTTACTAGAACTGGTCTGCCTCACAGGAATTGGGAGGGGTGGGAGGTGGGGTTCTATTGGGGTTCGCGGTTAAAAATAAGTATTGGTAAAGGGAAAGGTGTTTGATATTTACATGACTGAGACCTAAACCTGAAAGCTCTGTAACTTTTCCCACAGTGATTCAATAAAGAAATAAATTATTAAAAAAAAATAGTTATGTTAACGTGTTGAAGAGAACTATGGTAGAAGATCTAAAATGTACTATTAAGCTTACATTTCTAATGTGACTTTAAACATTTAATCAGTGGGATTTATTGATTCTTCTAGGTGTTTGTGTGGATCTATGACCCAGTTCACTTTAAAACATTTGTCATGGGATTAATTCTTGGTAAGTACAATCTGTAAAATTTAGAAAGCGAAGTAAAAAACAAAGCCTACAAAGAAAAAATGATGGTGGTTATTTTTAAAAAGCATTCTTTCAATTAAGTTAGAAGATGATAAACTGGGAAATTAAAAGGGAAGGATCTTTATGACATTGGTTGAGACGAATCACCTAATTTCTTGTAAAGAAATATAGTGACCAGTAATTAAGAGTATTTGGTCATGCTTAAAATACAAGTTAAAGCAACTGTGAATAAGAGGATTACAAAGTTTGCTAATAACCACCCAGTCTTAGTAAAGTTTGGCAATATTTCTCATATTTTAGATGTAAACACGCCCATCTAATCTTAAGAAATCTGTCCTATAACTCTTCTTAGTACATTTCTTAATACAGAAAGTATCTGTTCGGGAGTGGGCAGTACCAAACAATTCTAGCCCAAACCCTTAGTCTGTCTTTAGGATGGTAATCTTTCAGATGTTATTTGTCTATATCTGACACTTTGCACTTCAAGGAATTGAAATGTATGCTATAATCACATTTGTGCAAATACATTCACATATTGGTGTTAAGTGTTAATAGATATCCATATATTTATGTATAACAGAATAAAACTTTAAATAATTCAGGTTCCTAAGAAGGAAAAATAAACTACAGTAAAACTACACATTAGAACACAAGAATACCTTGTAATTTTAAAGAATGCCCTAAGATATACTGATGGAAAGAAGTCTAGAATAGATTAATTTTTTTAACTATGAAAGTAAGAATATCCTAAGTTTATGTATATAGAAAAATTAGTCTTAGTTACACATAGGAAATTTTTGAGACTGCAAATAAAAACATTTCTCATGAATGGATCAAAAATTGGGTGATGATTTCGATTTATATATATTTAAATTGTATTATGGATATGTATTCTTAAAATTTAAGACAGAAGAAATGAGACAAAGGATAGTCTCAGAAAGAGAGTGTAAAACTATTTTTTAAAAAAGCAGTTAAATAAAAAGGGTTCATCATTATAACATCACATTGAAAATAACTTTAAAGGAGAAGCTCACTGGTGATAAGTGTGAAAATTGGAATGATCTTTGCATGAAAAATATGATGAACGGTTACTGTAAGTTCAGTACCTAACGGCAATGGTTGAAAATAATAAGTATTGCTATATATTTAGTGCAGCTATATTATGATATACCTAATAGTAAGAAGGTCAGGTGGTGAAATGACTCATCAGGCTAAATGTTTGCACGTGGGAGGTCCAGGTTCTGTCCCTAGTGCTGCCTGAGCCCTCAGAATTGCCTCATCAGAGCATAGTTGAGTGTGGCCATAAACTAGAACCTCACTTAAACCCAAGCCACTTACTTGGCTTACAGGAGATGATCACTTACAGTTTACCAGTTAGTCTGCTAAATATTCATGTTTTTATTTCATCCTCAAAACAACCTGTTAAAAATAGGAAAAATAGGAATGGTGGGGCCAACAGCTAGTACACGTGGTCCAGTGCTTGCTTGCATGTCCAGCCCAGGTCAGTCCCGGCACACCATGGAGTCCCCCAGTTCCTCCAAGAGTGATCCCTTGAGCACAGAGCCAGGAGTAAAAGTTGGAATGTGCATTTCTATCCTATAAACTGAGCCTCAGAAAGGCTAGTTACAGTGGCAAGTAGGTATCACAGCAATCAGAGCACATACCCGGTGTGCACCCTACCTGGGTTGACTCCTGGTTCCACACGGTCCCCTGAACATCGCCGGGTGCAGCCTTGATGACCCCCAGCACCGTCCGGGTGGCCTGGGGATCCCTGGCCCTCTGGGCGGGCCCAATGTTCCGCCCCCAAGCTCTGGTATTGAACCAGTGATCTGCTCAGTGGGCTGAATATCACTGTGACCCCCTCTCCAGAACCCACCTACTGTCTGATCAACACTGGGGAGGCCCCTCCCAAAAAAGGGTATTTACTTAATTGTCCTGGGTTACTTTGCTGATAAATGATAGCACTTGAATTTGAATCCCGATCTTTCTTACACTAGAGACAGAATTGTAAGAGTTCTGATTTCTTCTGATCGGTCTCTGTGGTCCTCCTGTCATACTCAGAAAAAGCTTTGAGATGTTTGGATATGGGGCCTTATCACCATCTGCAGTCAGAGCCACCTGATGAACTTTTTCATTGTATGTATGACACAGGTTCACCCCAGAATCAGAATCTCCAAGGAGGATTCCTTAAAACCCTTTTTTTGTTTGTTTGTTTTTGTTGTTATATTGTAACCCCAGCAAGCTCTCCAGCCAGAGCGCACAGTGCTCAGTGCCAGGGCTAGGAGTGTGCGGCTATCTCCCCCGAGAGGCTACAGCACGGAGCAGGCACAGCGCCCAGACGTGTGACCCCTGGTGAGCACCACCGCCAGGTGGGAGCACCACAGCCAGAGGGGCACAAGCCCCGGTCCCTGCAGCAACAAAGAGAAGGGGAGGGAGGAAAGCACTGAGTAAAAATGTAGAACTTGCTTAAAAGTACAAGCAGTTGATAATTTAATGAGCTAGCAATTGCATTTTTAAGGTAATACTTGTTTTGGGAATTATATGTGATATATGCTAGAAAAGTTCTACTTGAGCAATAATGAGCCTTAGGTTGAACAATTTGGAAACTGATGATTGTTTTTTACCTATTAAAAATGGCAGTTTCGTATGTTGGTGTTTCAGTTAGATGGAGGAGATGCATTCGCTGTTATTGCAACCAAGCTGTTTGAAATGTTGTGTTATCTCTAACCTTTTTGTTTCTTGTTCCAGTAATCGCAGTCATCGCAGCCACCCTCTTCCCCCTTTGGCCTGCAGAGATGAGAGTCGGTGTTTATTACCTCAGTGTAGGTGCGGGCTGTTTTGTAGCCAGCATTCTTCTCCTTGCTATTGGTGAGTCTTGTTAGTAGTAAAACTTGCTTCAGTAAGACAGATAACTGAGCAATTTGGATTGCTGTCTGAAATTTCAGTAACACGTGTTAGCAAAATTAAGGTAAGCCAATCAAGACCTACTTTTCAATCTGGGTCATATCTTTGAACTAACTCAAGCTTGAAGTAATGTCTATGTGCTTGATTAGATTTGACCTGTTGAGAAGAAAGGAGTTAATGTATCTTAATCTGCAAATAGATGTACTTTACAGCATATTTAAAATCTTACCAAAATAATTTTAATATTTTGACAGTGGTTAAGCATGTATTAGACATTTAATTAAAACATTTTTATAATTTCAGGCATTAAATATTCTAATTCTGTGTATTCAATAAGTGATTCTAAATAAGTGTTTGTTTGTTTTCCTTTATAAGAGTTCTGGACAAGCTACCGAGAGTATCCCATCTGCACGGCAGAGCCTGGCAAGCTCCGCGTGGCATATTTGATATGCCAAAAACAGTAACAACAGGTCTCACAATGGAGATATTACTGGTGCCCGCTCGAGCAAATCAATGCACAACAGAACGACAGTGCTACAGTGCTATTATTAAATCACCGTGAACAATGAAGTTATTCATGATTGAGTTTCAGGGGTACAGTGTTTGAGCACCAATCCCTTCACTGGTGTTCATTTCCCTCCCCCAATATCTTGAGTTTCCCCGCCACCACCCAGTCTGCATCTGGCAGGCACTTTTCCTCTCCATCATCGTCCCTTCCCAAACTTATCACCCCCACCTGATCTTAGTGTCAAGCTTCCAACCCAAGAGTTGTTCTCTTGCTCTTCATTTCTGACTCTGGGCATTTTTATTTTTATTTATTTACTTTTTTAATTGTTGTTAGTGAAACACCTTGCGGTACAGTTGTAGACTTACGGATTTTTGTGCTTGGGTTTCAGTTATACAGTGATCGAGTACCCATCCCTCCACCAGTGCCCATTCTCCACCACCAGTGGTCCCAGTAGCCCTCCCACCCCCAGCCCCCCATCCCACCCTGCCTCTGTGGCAGGGAATTCCCTTTTGTTCTCACTCTCCTTTTGGGTGCTGTGGTTTGCAAAAGAGGCATTCATTGTGTGGCAATCATGTTCTTTCTATAGTCCACTTTCAGCATGCTTCTCCCATCCCGGGAGGATCCTCCCAACACCCTTTACTTGGTGCTCCCTACTCCTCTATCCGGGATCCCTTTTCCCCTAGCATGTGCGGCTGGCCTCCAAGCCATGGAGTGGCATAAACCTCCTGGTACTTGTCTCTGCTATTCTTGGGTGTTGCTCTCCTATTTTGTTACTTTTATGTTCACCAGATAGATGAATGCAATGCAGTCTTTCTATGTCTATCCCTCTCTCTCTGACTCATTTCGCTTAGCATGATATTTTCCATGTAGTGCCACTTGTATGTAAATTTCATGACTTCATCTTTTCAAACAGCTACATAGTACTCCATTGTGTAGATGTACCAAAGTTTCTTTAACCACTCATCTGTTCTCAGGCACTCAGGTTTTTCCAGATTCTGGCTATTGTAAACAGTGCTGCAATGAACAAACAAGTGCAGATGTCACTTCGACTATACTTTTTTGCCTCTCCAGGGTAAATTCCGAGGAGTGGTATTGCTGGGTCAAATGGGAGATCAAATTCTAATTTTTTGAGAATCGCCCATACTGTTTTCCAAAAAGGCTGAACCAGTCGGCATTCCCACCAGCAGTGAAGGAGGGTCCCTTTCTCGCCTCATCCATGCCAACACTGGTTACTTTTGTTCTTTTGGATGTGGGCCAGTCTCTGTGGTGTGAGATGATATATCATTGTTGTTTTAATCTGCATCTCAATGATGATTAATGATGTAGAGCATTTTCTCATGTGCCTTTTTGCCATTCGGAATTCTTCTTTGAGAAAGTTTCTGTTCATTTCGTCACCCCATTTTTTGATGGGGTTGGATGTTTTCTTCTTGTGGAGTTCAACCAGTACTTTGTATATCCTTGATACCAACCCCTTGTCGGTTGGGTATTGGGCGAATATCCTTTGTCATTCTGTAGACTGTCTTTGTATTTTGGTCACTGTTTCTTTGGAGGTGCAGAAGCTTCTTAGTTTAAGATAGTCCCATTTATCTATCTCTGTTTTCACTTGCTTGGCCAGTGGCGACATCTTTGAAGATATCATTAGCTTCAGTGTCATGGAGGGTTTTGCCAACTTTGTCTTCGATGTAACTTATGGATTCTGGTCTGATGTTGAGGTCTTTAATCCATTTTGATCTTACTTTTGTACATGGTGTTAGGCAGAGATCTGAGGCCATTTTTTTGCATATAGCTGTCCAGTTTTGCCAGCACAATTTGTTGAAGAGACTTTCCTTGCTCCACTTCACATTTCTTGCTCCCTTATCAAAGATTAGATGATCATATGTTTGGGGGGAGATGTCAGTGTCTTCAGCCCTGTTCCATTGGTCTGCAGTTCTGCCTTTGTTCCAGTACCATGCCGTTTTAATAATTACTGCTTTGTAGTAGAGTTTGAAGTTAGGGAGGTTGATTCCTCCCATTTTCTTTTCCCCAAGAATTGCTTTAGCTATTCGTGGGGGCCTATTGTTCCATATGAATTTCAGGAGTGTTTGATCCATTTCTTTGAAGAATTTCATGGGTATCGTTATAGGGATCGCAATGAATTTGTGCAAGGCTTTCGGAAGTATTGCCATTTTGACAGTGTTAATTCTCCCAATCCATGAGCAGGCGATATCTTTCCATTTTCTGTTTTTTTTTTTTTTTTTTTATTTCCTGAAGTAGCGTTTTGTAGTTTTCTTTGTACAGGTCCTTTACTTTCTTAGTTAAGCTGATTCCTAGGTACTTTATTTTCTGGGGCACAGTTGTGAACGGGATTTTTTTTTTATGTCACTTTCTTCTCTCTCACTATTTGCGTATAGGAGAGCCATGGACTTGGGTATTGATTTTCTAGCCTGCAGCTTTACTATACAAGTCTGTTGTTTCTAGGAGTTTCTTGGTAGAGGCTTTAGGGTTCTCTAAGTATAGTATCATATCATCTGCGAATAGTGGGAGCTTGTTTTCATCCTTTCCTGCCTGAATGCCCTTAATACCTTTTTCTTGCCTATCTGCTATTGCAAGTACTTCCAGTACTAGATTGAACAGCAGGGGAGGGTATGGGCATCCTTGTCTCATTCCTGATCTTATAGGGAAGGCTGTCAGTTTTTCCTCATTGAGGATGATGCTTGCTGTAGGCTTGTGGTAGATGCCTTTAACCATATTGAGGAAAGTCCCCTCTATACCTATTTTGGCGAGGGTTTTCATCATAAACAGGTGCTGGATCTTGTCATATGCTTTCTCTGCATCTATTGATATGATCATATGGTTTTCACCTTTACTTTTTTTGATATGATGAATTATGTTGATTGATTTCAAATGTTAAACCATCCTTGCATCCCTGGGATGAATCCCACTTGGTCATGGTGTATGATCTTTTTGATGAGTTGTTGAATTCTATTTGCTAGTATTTTGTTGAGAATCTTCACGTCTGTGTTCATCAGGGATATCAGCCTGTAGTTTTCTTTTCTTGTGGTATCTTTGTTTCCTTTTGGTATGAGAGAGATACGGGCTTCATAGAAACTGTTTGGGAGAGTTTCTATTTCTTCAATTTTCTCGGAAAGCTTGAGAAGAACTGGCAGTAGGTCCTCTTTAAATGTTTGGAAAACTTTGCTAGTGAATCCATCTGGACCTGGGCTTTTGTTTTTGGGAAGATTTTTGATTGCCTTTGGGTTTGGAGGGTTTCCTCTGATAGATCTGCTGTGAATCTAGGGGTTGCTCCTTTGTATGTGTTTTCCTTCTTTGACCTTGCTGCTTTCACTATTGTGTCTATCTGCAGCATCGATCTTTCTAACTATGATATGTCTTGGAGTGTTTTTGTTAGGGTCTCTTTTAGCTGGTACCCTTCGGGCTCCTTGAATCTGAATGGCTGCATTGTCGAGCTCTGGGAATTTTTCAGCAATGATTTGTTTAACCGTGGTTTTTTCATTGGGATTGTTTCCCTGAGCTTCTGGTACTCCAGTGATTCTAATGTTGTTCCTCTTGGAATCATCTCCTAGGACTCTGATTCGCTCTAGAGCTATTTTGAGGTCTCTTGCCATTGTTTGTTGTTGCCTGTTGGGTTGGTGCAGCTGATCTTCCAGCTCACTGATTCTGTCTTCAGCTGTGTCCATTCTACTGTTGAGGGCACAGACTGAGTTTTTAATTTCATCTGCGAAATATTTTATTTGTGACATTTCTGTGCATAGCTTTCCAATTTCTGCTCTCATTTCTTCCCATAATTTCTCTATTGTTTCTGTCATGTTGCTGGATATGTGTCTGACTGTTTCATTGAGTTCATTGAACATCTTCATGACTTCATATCTGAATTCTTTCTCAGAGAGGTCTTTCAGGTGAGTAGCAGCTACTGAGACTTCTGGACTCTTTAAAACATCCTCCCCGCGTGGTGGGGATTTGCATTGTTTCTTCATGTTGGTGTGGAGGTATGGGGACTGAGGTGTTACACTAGATTTCTTGGTATGACTAAACTGCCTGTGACTGCCTGAACGTCTGCCCGCCCAAAATCAGGCCACGCCCACTTCTGAAGAGGCCACGCCCCCACAGGTACCTGATGTTGGGGAGTGGGGTACCAGCTGGGACAGCGTTGGGGACAAACAGGAAGAGGCTCAGGGCTGGTGGGCGACCCAGGGTCCTAAAGGATGCAGGGGGCGCTTGCGCAAAGCCAGTTCCCGGGTTCGAGTACTGGCAGCTTAACTGACCTGGGAGGGGAGGAAGACTGGCACAGTGTTGGGGATGAACAGGAAGAGGCTCAGGGCTAGTAGGCGACCCAGCTGACTCTGGGCATTTTTAAATCCCCTACTAAGTTTCTTTCTATCCCACACATGAGAGCGCTCATTCTGTGACTCTCTCCCTCTGACTAACTTCATTCAGCATGATACTTTCCAGATCCATC